CTAAACCAAAACCAAAACCAAACTTACTACGACTGAGTTGGATCCTACTCATAGCGACCCCTCATTGGGTTTCCAAGGCAGTATCACTACGAAAGGAGATTGCCCAACCTTCCTTCTGAGAAGTGGCTGGTGGGTTTGAACTGCCAGCCTTCTGGTTAGCAGTCAAATGCCTTAGGCACTATGCCACCAGAGCTCACAACTATCCACCCAAATATCAATGTTTGCCTTCACTGACAATTCAATACTATATGTATTGGTACAGATAACAAGGGTTCATCCTTGTTATCTGTACCTCCCATGCACCTCTCTGTCTTCCTCTTCCTCAATGCCACATGTTGATCACTCACATTTGATACATTGCCCTTGTCTTCACCCAAATCAATACTTGTCTCTACTTATCTAATAGTGTTCCCTCCCCTTTCTTCCCACCCCTGGTAACCAACAAAGAAAATTTCCTTCCATATATAAACCTTTCCTTGACTTTTTACAATAATGGACTAATACAATATTTGTCTTTCTGTGATTGATTTATTTCATTCAGCATTATGTCCTCCAAGTTCATTCATGTTATGCTGTGTTTTGCCAATTCTACATCATTCTTTAGGGTTGCATAGTATTCCGGTTCAAACCCACCAGCCACTCCTCAGAAGGAAGGTTGGGCAATCTATTTCTGTAGTGATACTGCCTTGGAAACCCAAGGAGGGGTCGCTATGAGTTGGATCCAACTCGATGGCAGTGAGTTTGGGTTTTTTTGGTTTGTATGTACCATAGTTTGGTTATCCATTCTTCTGTTAATGGGCACCTAGCTTGGTTCCATCTTTTGGCTATTGTGAATAGTGCTGCAATGAACATGGGTGTGCATATATTTGTTCTTGTCTGGGCTCTCACTTCTTTAGGATATATACCTGGTAATATAATGGCTGGATCAAATGGTATTTCTAATTCGAACTTTTTAAGGAATCACCATACTGCTTTCAACAGTGGTTGTACCATTTTACATCTCACCAGCAGTGCATGAGAGTCCCAATCTCTCCACATCCTCGCCAGCATTTGCTGTTTTCTGTCTTGTTGAACTTTGCTACTATTGCTGGGGCAAAATGGTATCTTATTGTTTTGATTTGCATCTGATAGCTAATGATTGTGAGCATTTCTTCACATGTTTATTGGCTGCCTGAATATCCTCTTTGGTGAAGTGTCTATTCATGTCTTCTGCCCATTTTGTATTTGGATTATTTGTCTTTTTGCTGTTGAGGTTTTGGAATTTTCTATAAATTCTGGAGATAAGTCCCTTGTCAAATATGTCATTGCTGAATATTTTTTCCTAATATGTAGGTTCTCTTTTGACTCTTTTGGAGAAGTCTTTGGAAGTACACAACAAATTTAACTTTTAGAAGGTCTCATTCATCATCTAGTTTTTCTTCTGCTGCTTGTGCCTTTTGGGTAATGCTTGATAGTCTATTTATGCCATATATTAGGGCCCCTAAATTTGTGGAAGTCCTATTAACTCTTGCACAGACACACAGAGCCCCCCCTTACCTACCCGTAAGGAGCTCGAGTTGTGCAGTAGTTAAAAGTATTCAGCTGCTAACCAAAGGGTCTGCAGTTTGAACCCACTATCTACTCCACAGAAGAAAGATGAGGCAGTCTGGTTTGGTAAAGATTTACAGCCTTTGAAACTTTATGGGACAGTTCTACTCTGTCCTGTAGGGTCACTCTGAGTCAGAACTGACTGGCAGTGGGTTTGGCTTTGCGGTTACCTACCTGTGTTTGTGCTGTTTCCACTATTCTACTTTTCTTGACCCGGGCAATTCTTATTTCTCTTTTAAAATTCAGTTCAACTGTCCTCTCCTTGAAGAAGCCTTCCCTGGTCCCAAAGGAAAATGTCCTTCTATGTATGCACATTCTGTGCCCATATCTATTTTCACACCTATTATAATGAGTATTAGGTTAGGAGGTTGTTGCTAAGTGCTGTTGTGTTGGCTCCAACTCATAGCAACCTTATGTACAACAGAACAAAAGACTTCCCAGTCCTGTGCCAGCCTCACAATCCTTACTATACCTGAGTCTATCATTGCAACCACTGTGACAATCTATTTCATTGAGGGCCTTCCTCCCTTCACTGACCCTCCACTTTACCAAGCATGATATTCCTCTCCAGTGAGTGGTCCCTTCTGACAACCTGACCAAAGTAGGTGAGATGAAGGCTGGCCATTCTCACTTCTAAGGAACATTCTGGCTGCACTTCTTCCAGGACAGATTTGTTGGTTCTTTTGGCAGTCTGTGGTATTTTCAGTATTGTTCACCAACACCACAACTCAAAAGCATCAACTCTACTTCGGTCTTCCTAATTCATTGTCCACATGCATGTGAGGCTATTGAAAATACCATGGCTTGGGTTAACCAAAAAAAAAAAAAAAAACTCACTGCCATGGAGTCGGATTCAACTCATAGCTACCCCTCCTTGGGTTTCCAAGGCAGTATCACTATGGAAGTAAATTGCCCAATCTTTCTTCCAAGGAGTGGCTGGTGGGTTTGAACCCACAGCCTTATGGTTAGCAGTCAAATGCTTTAGGCACTACGCCACAAGAGTTCCTTGGCTTTGGTTAGGTGCACCTTAATTTTCAAAGAGACATCTTTACTCTTCAGCACTGTAAAGAGGTCTTTTGCAGCAGATTTTGCCAGTGCAATACGTCATCTGATGTCTCGACTGCTTCTTCCATTGGTGTTGATTGTGGAACCAAATAATATGAAATCTTTGACAACTTCAATCTTTTCTCCATTTAGATTAGGAGGAGACACTATTGTTCATCTTTGTGTCCTCAACTCATGGTGCATTGCCTCAGGAATTCCCTATGGATGTCTTATTAAGGATGATTCTTGTCAAGGGAGAGAGTTGGTGACTTCCATGAGATTACAAACAGATTTGAATATCCAGCATTGGAGAATGGGACAAGATTAGAGAATGCTGTATTTTGATGTATGTAATAATGTTTTCTATTGAAAAGCTGTCAGGGATTGAATTATGTCCACCCAAAACATGTGCCATCTTGGCTAAGTCATGACTCTCAGTGGTTTGGCAGTAATGTAGTGATGTAATTCTCTCCCATGATGTGGTTGATGTAATCATCTTCCATTTGTGATGTGTCATAAATCCTGACCTCTATGTGTTAATGAGTAAACTACCCGATCTTCCTTCTGAGGAGTGGCTGGTGAGTTTGAACTGCCAGCCTTCTGCACTAGGCTACCAGAGCTCCTGAGACAGGATTAGATTATGTTAATTAGCCTTAGGGTATGTTTGTTATGTGAATGAGGAAAAGTTAAGGTAGGATGCAACACCCTTATTCAGGTCATGGCCCTGATCTGATGTAAGAGTTTACCTGGAGTGTGGCATGCATCACCTTTTGTCTTGCAAGACATGAAAAGAGAAGTGAGCAGAAAGAGAGGGATCTGATCAAGAAAAAAGAGCCAGGAGCAGAGCACATCCTTTGGATCCAGGGTCCCTTTGCTAAGAACCTCCTAGATCCAGGGGAAGATTGATTCCAAGGCACATGTAGATCTCCAAGAAACACTGGGCTCCCAGATGTTGAAAGGAGACAAAGACCTTCCTCCAGAGCTGACAGAGAGAGAAAGGCTTCTCCTAGAGCTAGAACCCTGAATTCAGACATCTAACCTCCTAAACTTGAGAGAATAAATTTATGTTTGTTAAAGCCAGGCACTTGTGGTATTTCTGTTATAGCAACAAAGATAACAAAGACAGCAACAACAACAACAAAAACTAATGTTATTTCATTATGTATAGCTAGTAAATCTAAACAGACATTATTATAATGTTCTATTTTCCAGAGAAAATTGGGTACAAAAATTATTTAATGAAAATTCATCCCTTTTATTGTTTCAATAATGTACAGAGATATAAAATTCCACATATACTTTTCACTAACACATGCACATGTAAATAAGAACAAATTATTTAATAATTAAAACATTTTAAACAAATATTATACTTCTCTTCAATTGTCTCTATTTTGAAACAATTTAAAAGCTATAAAAGAGCCTAAAATTCACTTTATAACACAATAAATCATATCCTTTCACAACACAATCAATTATTTATGAAAGGAAAAACATCCAGTAAAAGTCTAATTCATTGGGAAATTTTTAGTACTATAAATGCAGTATGTTCTTTATAACATCATTTTGTCTTTCCTTGTTAGCACTTATTTTCACACTAAAAGAGTAGTATGAGGTGATTATGACCCATGCCGGCACAGTGAATCTAGGCATGGCAATGATAGCTGTCAGCTGTTTTTAAATGTATGTGACCAAATACTTTTTTCTTTCTGCAAATACTGTCATTCAAACCATGTTATTCACCCCAATTCAATCTCTCCATTTCCTGTAACAATTTCTTGGGTAGTTCTGAAGCTTTAGGGGGGAACACTCCTCCCAGAAATGCATGCTACTCATAAGCTCAAAGAAAACTAAGTTAGTTAACAATCCTTGATGCAGACCAGAAAGTGAGTATTCAGCAGGCAATTATCCTAATTTGAAAAAGGAAAAAAATGGGTACAAAAAAAGATTAGATGACTTATTAACAATCCCTTACATTAGAACTTTTACTTTATGGATTAAAATATATTATATGATCTGATGCTCAAAACAAACTTTTAGTAAGGTTGGTAGGCAGAGCAGATATCCCTTTACGAATGAAGACATAAAGAGGTTCAGAGAGATGAGTCATTTGCCTTTGGTGGCACAAATAGAAACTGCAGTAATAAACTTGAACTCAAGTCCTCTGATTCCCAACCTTTCCTTTCACACCACAATGCTGCTTGCTAACTTGAACACAGTGAGGAGCAATACAGCAGTCTCTAACACCACAAGCCAAAACTTCATTCAGTGTGCACTGTATAGATGCCTTGGAGTATGAGAAAAATGAACAGCATTGTCTTAGAAGAGGAGTCCATATACTACTTCCAGTGGTGTTCTTGATAGTCCTAATGTACTGGACAAATGAAAATGGGTATGTGAATAATCCTATAATTGCCATAATTATAAACAGAAATATAAAAATAAGATTGGGGACAAGCTATCCAACAGCATGTCAGATACTAAAATCACTCAGTTTTTAAAAATGCATATTAAAGAATAATCTTGGTTAAAAGATAAATAAAATAGATTTTAAGATTCTGATTTCCTACAATAAATTTTCCAATTTTATTGTTGAAAAATATGAAAAATGATTCACTTGTTATCTAAGTTTTTTTCCACTGTAAAAATTGCTTTTGCCCTCGGAAAGCCACCATCTTGATAGCTAGCTTCCTTTTAATTACAATTGGATGATTAGAAGGCCTTCACTGCAGGGGTGATCCTGCGAAAGTATTTATGACCTTGGGAATCTGTATTTTCAAATACATAACCTGGAGGAGAAGGATAGCTAGCTGGGCAGATTTCTTGTTTCTTTGGTGTGTACTCTATGGAATACATGGTTACACCATCAAATGGAATAGAACTCGTAAGAGCAATATTTAAAGGTTTGCAACTCTCTGTGGGAATCAGTTCATGTGGCACATAGTGAGATCTAAAAGTGCTCAAACCATCAAATTTCCCAGATGGATTGGGAATCTGCTGCTGTCTCTTAATAATTCCTTGACGACAACTTTCCCATGCTGGAAAATCTTCCTTTGTGGTGCTTTTGCCTTGGAAAGGAAATCTGTTATTTCTTCTATGAGAAGCTGGTCTAATAGGAACAACACGGTTGGCCTCATGCGGAACATAGTCAAGATGACTTGTGCTGCTTAACTGCATAGTACCTGTAGGTGGGACATACTCTGGTACTTTCTTGACGACAGGTGGTGGGATTTCCCATGGTTGAAAACTTTCTTGGAATTCAGTGCTTCCTGAAAACTGAGCATTCTGGGCCACTCTATTGTCGGCAGGTTTGCAGATTTTTGCAGTTTCACCAACAAGACCCTGAAAGTCATTGTGGTGAGTTGTGAGATCCTCAAAAGGTTTGCTGGTTGGCTTGTAAACTTCTTTTGGCCTTGCAAACTTGATTTCTAGCTGATGTGGTACATAATCAAGGCGATGACTTGTGTCACCATTAAAAGGGGTTGTAGAACGTTTGACCAAAAAAGAGGGTTTAAAGCTTTGCCTAGGCTTTATCTCCTGAGGAATGTAGTCATCTTGAAATGTAGTTGAATTTCCAAATTTCACAGTAGGGGGATGATAAGTTTCTTCTGGTTTATAAAGTTCACTTTTCTGAATGTCCCAAGCTCTATAATCATCTTGAAAATTTAAAAAATAATAATAAATAAAATTAAATACTGAAGAAATCATCTTCTAAAAATCATACATTACTGCTCACATTGCTAAACATTCATTTCCTTTACATTCTGAATGTTAGCATCAGAAAGGAAGTTTGTCTAATTGCCCTCAGATTTGTTTTTGTTTTTTCCACTTTCCTCTACCTCCCAACTTTAACACACATAACTTTCCACTTCTAGATCCATCTGATTCCTGATTGTTGATTGTTTTTGAGAGCCAAAAGGACAGAGTTTGGGGTGAGGACAGAGATTAAGAGATTATTCTTGAAACTAAATGTACATATAATGTTGAATGTAAAACAAGCTCTTAAAATAATAATGTAAAAAAAAAAAAATGAAAAAAAAAAAGAGATTATTGTTGTGCTCCTTAACTTGGGATTTAAAAGAACCAGTGGGAATTTTCACTAATTTAAGGCTAAGATAAACCATGAAACCGGGGTATCTGGACTCAAATCAAAGGCCGTGATTTGTGGGCAAAAGTAATGTCAGGATTATTTCTTGCTTTGGAGGGACGCTTCAAAAGAGAGAAAATTTCCACTCCATTACACTCCTACAAGACTCCCTAAGCAAAAACACAGGATAACTTGTACTATTCCATAAAGATCCATGACTAACTTCTTCTCCTTGTGAAATGGGCTTTGGGTCAATTCCAACAGATAAAGGACTATCTAGGAGCTCTGGGAGCATAGTGTTAAGGCACTTGACTGTGATTCAAACCCACCAGCCACTCCTCGGAAGGAAGGTTGGGCAATCTACTTCCGTAGTGATACTGCCTTGGAAACCAAGGAGGGGTCACTATGAGTCGGGTCTGACTTGACAGCACATAACAACAACAACAACAGAGGCCAGGAGCCTGAACTGAGTGCTTTCAAGAGTATTAAAAATTGTATGTAAAATTTAGAAGTGAACATCAGAGCTAAGATCTGAGATTTAAAATTTAAATACCTCAAGCCTGCTTCCTAAAGCTTACTAGACCATAGATGGAAAATTGAAGTGCTTATATTTTAAACAGCTCTAGATAAGAAAGGCATTAAACTGGAAAATCTATAGATTTTTAACCCAAAATATTTCTAAACACCAAAAATTAAATTTTAAAAGCTAGAAGTTTGTCACACAATATAAAGTTTTAGAATCTGGACTAAAGTGTATGCAATGCTACTGGAAAGGCCAAAACTCAAAAGATTATTATGTGGATACCTCCTTCCAAGAGAAAAATGCCTCACCTATAAATATTTGTGCCAAGATGGCCAAGTTTTGGACTAAATGACTACTCCTACCTCAAGCTACTGATGTTTGGATGAGAATGGGCACCTAACCCAAGAGCAGCCATTCTGTAGATTAGCACAGAGCTATGAAACAACAGGCAACAAAAAATAAGTTAGGTCAAACAAATACCTGTTGTTGTGAACCAAAATTTAAAATAAAGAGCCAGATAAAAGTGGGAGAAGAATCTAAAAGGATGCCAAGAAAGAGAGGGAGAGTTATGGCAAGCTGGTTATATTCATAGCAATAACTTGTGAGGGAACAGAAGAGCCAGTTACTAGATTGACAATCAGAGGAGATATGTAAAAGGAAGTGAATGCGCTGTGAGAGAAAGTCTGCAGCTCATGGGAGAGATGGAGAGACTGAGAGATTAGCTCTTCCCTCAAGTTTCCTCTGTACCCAATAGCTTTCCATTTCCAGTTCATCTGGATTTACCACAAATGTTTTTTTCTTGAGGTACCATGAACGAATCTCTGTTCTTTGCAATTTAAAGTCTCAAATTATAAGACTATTTCACAACAACTAAAGGAAATCATAGGAGCTCTGGTGGCGTAGTGTTTAAGGTGTTTGACTGCTAACCAGATGGCTGGTGGTTCAAACCCACCAGTCACTCCTCAGAAGGAAGACTGGGTAATCCACTTCCATAGAGATACTGCCTCAGAAACTCAAGGAAGGTGTCACCATGAGTTGGGACTGACTCGATGGCTGTGAGTTTGGTTTTTGGTAAAGGAAATCATAGATATCATTCCAGGTCTTTAGTTCCACACAATCATACAGTCATGCTGCCAAAATGACTAAGTGGAAAAGACATTCCTTTTATGAGAAGAATGAAACAGGAGAGACGATTTCTTCCACATCAGACCAGATTAGGTTTTCAAAAAGGAAGTGAGAATTTGGAAACTGAGAGACAATGTTTGACAGCATATATTAGCATAAATATCCAGATAATTGCAAAAATTTTATTTCCCCCCTACAAATCTACCTGAACTCATAAGCCCAGAATATTTATTAATAACATTTTATCAATACCATTCAAACATTGTAGTCTTTATTAATATCATCCATTTTTAGTGTCTTATGACACTTATGGGGAAAAACACATACACATATACACAATACCACTCCATCTCTGATAATGTAGTCTCATAATCTTGCAGCTCCAATATTAACTGTATAGTTTCCTCAAATCAGTCTTCTGATTTCTAGCCACTAAAATCTCATTAGGAAGTCTGCTCTCTTTGGAACAATGTTAAGTCTATGAGTTTTGCTTACCATGAACATTTTTGTATGCACAGTTCCTTCACCTACTTTCATCTAGTGAGCTTCTTTGAGAACAATTTGTCCCGATGTCCTGATTTGTTTAGACTAGTTTTTTTTCCTTTGGATTCTGTTCCCTGTGGTGCCTAGAAGTACCAAATATTCGGAATGTTTTTTTTTTACAAAGTCAAGCCACTCCTATGGCTTTCGTTACTAACTATAAGCTGATGGGTCCAAACTTGAATCTCCTCCCTAGATCTGCATTCAAGCACCAAACTCACAAATCTATCTTCCTACTAAATATCTCTTTGTATGTGTCACAGCTAAACTGAAACTTAACATGCCCAAACTCAGACTCAGCTTCCCCAGAAATTAATATACCACACCATCCTCAACAAAACATTTCCCATTATGCATTTGGGAGCTAAGGCAAAGATTCCACCCAGTCAACTTCTCTCTCTCATTCCTTCCTTGTCCCCCTTTCAAGCAGTTTTCAAATTTTGTTCATTTTTATCTCCTAAATGTATGTATTTTAATATTTTCCTTCCTGAGGTAAAAATAGAATGAATAGAAACCTGTGAAATCATAAAAAATAAGGAAAAGGGAAAAGAAGAAACAACTATGTAAAACAAGTTTCTGTAAAGTCTGTGATGTCCCATCCTTCATTTTCTCTCTCTCTTCTTGGTCAGTCTGGTTAGAATTTATCAACTTTATTATCTTTTATTGATTTTCTATATTGTTTTTCTGTTTACAGATTCACTGATTGATACTCAACTTAAAAAATTTAAGAAATTTTAAGTTTATAGAAAAATTTTACAGAAAGTACAGGGTTCCTTTATACCTCCTCTCTCCTCCACACACTATTTCTTCTATTATTAAATCTTGCATTTATGTGGTATATTTGTCAAAAGTAGCAATATTGGTACATTATTAACTAAAGCACATAATTTATATCAGCATCCAATCTTTTTGTACAGTCCTATGAGTTTTGACAAATGCATGTCATATGTCCACTACTACAGTATCATGCAGTATAGTTTCACTGTCCTAAAAATTTCTCTGTCCTCTATTAATCCCACATGTAATTAGATTACATTTCTTGTTTATTTATTTATTTATTTATCTCTAAATGGTTGCCCTAGTGAGGGTTTGGCAGACTTTCTCTGCAGGGTCAGATACTAAATATTTTAGGCTTTGTGGGCCATGTGCTTTCCATTCTAACTACTCAGCTCTGAGGCTGTAGTGTGAAAGCAGCCATTGACAATATAATAAATGACTGTGTCTGGCTGTGTTTCAATAAAAAGTTACTTACAAAAAAAATGGATGGTCAGATTTACTCCAAAGGCCATAGTTTGCCGACCTCTGCCCTAAAGTTTACAATGCATATCTTTAATTAATCACAGTCTATCTTCATATTGGGAGCTCTGGTAGCATAGTGGCTAAGACCTGCTAACCAGACGGCTGGTGGTTCAAACCCACCAGCCACTCCTTGGAAGGAAGGTTGGGCAATCCTACTTCCGTAGTGATACTGCCTCGGAAACCCAAGGAGGGGTCACTATGAGTCGGGGCTGACTCGACGGCACATAACAACAACAACAACAATCTTCATATAATATCCTGATTCATACACGGTTTTAGAACCTTACAACAGTATACTTCCAATTCCTGTACCCCCTCTTAACACTATTGGTGTTAATATTTTTAACTTTTACACATGCTATAAACCCACAGTGTATTACTACCATTTTTTATCTAACCAGAAAAACGAAATCCACTGCCGTCGAGTTGGATCTGACTCACAGAGACCCCTTTTGGGGTTTCCGAGGTGGTATCACTATGGAAGTAGATCGCCTAATCTTCCTCCCGGGGAGTGGCTGGTGGATTGGAATCACCCTTCATTTTATGCCGTAGGCACTGCACTGCCACAGCTCCTTAGTTTGGTTAGGTTTTTTAACCTTCATTTTAACTATTTCTGGAGCTCTTTATTTCTTTCTGTTGAACAAGACTCTGTCTGGTATCATATTATTCCTTCTGCTTCAAAAATGTTCTTTAAAATTTCTTGTAGTGAAGGTCTACTGATAATGAAATCTTTCAGTTTTACTTGTTGAACATGGTTTTCACGTGTTTATGACAGATATTTCTGCTGGGGAATAAATCTGGTTTGACATGTTTTCTCCCCTTCTCCCACACCAACATTTTAAATATGTCACTCAACTATCTTCTGGCCTAGTTTCTGACAGAATGTCTCTGCATTTTTTTTCTTTCTTCTTGTATATATATGTCTTATTTTCCTCTTGCTGCCTTAAAGAATTTTATTTTTAATTTTCAGAAGAAGTTTGAATATAGTGTTTCTAGGTGATGTTTTTCTTCCTTTTTTTTCTTTTTAAAAATTTATCCTGCTTGAAGTATCATTGAACATCTTGGATCTGTAGTTTAATGCC